TGGGCACCTCCCAGAACATTGTTTTGTGCCACTCCCAACAGAAATACTCCAGGTGGACAACTTCAGCAATCAGGAGCTTCTCAGTTGCTCATAGCAAATCCCATCTTGAAGTTTACAAAGACTTATGGGTAGAAAAGCCACACTAAGTAATTTACTACACCGCAGTACCTATAAGTTTAATTCCCTCTGATAGGTTAGTTGCTGTTGTTGTGTGCAGAGCGCCTTCCTTGATTTTGAGTGTACAATGTTTTATGGTCTTATTTTGAGTTTCTATTTCTGATTTGGGTTCAGTGTTGATGTCACGTATCCTGATTTTGTTGATCTCTGTTGTGGGTTCTCTATTGGAAGGACTTCCTTAAGCATTTCTAGTAGGGTTGGTCTGGTTTTAACAAAATCCCTTAATTTCTGTTTGTCTGGAAATGCCTTGATTTTGTCCTCATATTTGATGGATAATTTGGCTGGATGTGGGATTCTTGGTTGGAAGTTCTTTGTCTTCAGTGTTTTATATATGCCATCCCATTACCTTCTTGCCTGCATGGTTTCTGCTGAGTAATTGGAGCTCAAACTAACTGATTATTATAAGTAGTATTTCTTTTGTCTTGGGCAGCTCTCAAAATTTTTTTTTTGTCTTTGGTTTTTAGAAAGTTTGGTTAAAATATGCCTCAGTGTTTTTCTCTTTGGGTGTATCTTGTATGGAGTTCTATGAGCTTCTTGGACAAATATCTTTTCTTCCTTCCTGATATGGGGGAAGTTTTCTGTTAGTAGGTCTTCCACAATTTTCTCGGTGTTTTATTTCTCCTCTTCTTGTTCTGCAGTTCCAATGAGGCATATGTTGTTTCTTTTCATGTTGTCCCATATAACTCTTAGGTTCTCTTCATTTCTCTGAAATCTTTGTTCTGATTTTCCTCCATACAGGCTGGTGTCCAGGGATTTGTCTTCTAGTTGAGAAATGTGTTCTTCAGCCAGTTCTGTCCTACTCTTTTGTGCTTCTCCTGTCTTGTGTAATTTTAAAATTTTGGTATTCATCTTCTGGATTTCTGAGTACTGTTTTTGTATGAGTTCTGATTGTGCATTACTCTTATTTTGTTCTTGTATGATTTTCCTGAGTTCTTCCAGGAAACTGTCTGTATTCTCCTTGCTTCTGTTTGGGGTTTCCTTAGATTCTTGTAAAGCTCTATAAACATGTCTTCTAAATTCCTTCCCAGATAATTCTATTGCCTCCTCTTCCTCCATGTTTAATGAGACCTTTGTTTGTGGTTTTGCTTCTAATGCCTTGTCCTGTTTTTTATTTGTTTGTTTGATTTGAGGTTTCCTGTTGTTTCCTAGACATTATGAGGTTTTCTTTAACTGTTGGTTATATATGGATTTGTTTTTTCTTGGTTTTATGATTTAATATTTTGAAAAGATGGAGCTGATACATTTTATTTTTTTGGTTATTAATTCAGGTATGCTGGGTTGCTCTGCAGTTTTCTTTGTGATGATGGAATGAATCTCTGTGTGGAATGTGGATATAGATCTCTGTGGTAAAGAGGTTTAGAATTTGAGCTGGCAAGTAATATCGTGGCTGAATGTTATTTTTCTATTGGATAGGTGAGGGTATAGGTGGAGAAGGTCAGAGGAGAAGCAAGAAGGAAGGCGAGCTTCAAGGTTCTAGGGGTGGTTTCTAGAGCACTGAGCGGGCTGCTAATGATGACGTTGTTGTACTGTTATTCACAGGCCCGCAGCTCAAGTTCAGCAAAGACTCCAGTTGTTAGGGAGTCTTCACTTTTTGCCAGGTTCAGCCACACGCAAAAACCCTTCCCCCGAGGCCCTTCCGTGCCAAAAAGCCGACCTAAGACAACTGCCCTGCTCCGTAATCCGCCGTGGGAGTTCCTCTCAGGGCCTGCCCACTTGCAGCACCAAAGATCTGTCTGCTCGGATTTTAGTGGCGGTGGAGTCAGGGAAATGCCCGCTCACACCCAGCAGATGCAAAATTACTGACAAAGTCAAGTGTGGGCCGCTCTGTGCTAAAAGGCTGGCTGAAGGCCGTTCAGTGATCTGACCCTCTTGCAGTGCCAGTGGTCTCTCTCTCTGGGTTTCACTGGTGCTGGAAGTGGCCGCTTGCACCCAGCAGAACCAAGTTTACTGATAAAGGCACGTGCTGAAGGTATATCCTTGGAGTGATTGCTGGTATGCTGGTGTGGTTGCTGGTATGCTGGTGTGATGAGTCTTCTTCCTTAACCCAGGGAAGTCTTGGATGGCTCTTCTCGCCTGCCAGTCGGTGGTCCCCCAGGGTGGTCTCCGATGGCCTTTCTCGCCTGCCGGTTGGTGTTCCGCAGGGTAGATTCTCTTGTTCTTGTTCTTTTTCCCCCTGCACCTTTCTCCTTTCTAATCCTACTCCCCTGAGTTTGGCGCACTCTTACTCAGCTGTTCAGAGCACCAGAATCCCTAATTCAAACTGCTGCACCTAGTTTTTCAGGCACTAAGCTGCTAGAAGGAGCCTTGGTAGCATTGTGCCTAAGGCACTTGACTACTTACCAGAAGGCTGGCAGTTCAAACCCACCAGCCACTCCTGGGAAGAAAGGTTGGGCAATCTACTTCTGTAGTGATACTGCCTTGGAAACCCAAGGAGGGGTTGCTATGTGTCGGGTCTGACTCGAGGGCACATAACAACAACAACAACAGCAAGATGCTAAGGGAATTAGCATGGGGACTACTGATGAGACTCCATTTTGTATCCAAGAAACTAATATTTTAGGGGTGTGTGTGTGTGTGTGGGCGCGTGCGTGCTCATGTGCGTGCCGCCAAAGTAACCTATACTAATGAAAAGCATTGTGGCTAAGAAAAATGGTAACTTTGCCATAAATGACTCTTGACTATTTTAAATCTCATTGAAAATACATGTTTAATCATCAAATGAAAATGTGTTACTTTGTAGGTCTTAGAGATTACTGAAACTTAAATTATGTTGTAAACACATTTGTTAATATTTCTTTGCAGTTAGCTTCTGGAATTTATAATTTTGCCTGCTCTCTGTGGAATCACCATACAGACACATTCCTGCAACAAGTTTCTTCTGGGAATGAAGCTGCAGTTCAAAGTTCACTAGAACGAACTTTACTGTCATTGAAAGGTACTATTAAACTTAATCCAGATATATTTATATTTTGAAATAACATTCCTTAGAACAGTCACCAGATAGTACTCTGAATGTATTTTCTGTTTCCACTTGTATTGGGAGGACAAGGAGTTACCTTCTCCGGTGGCATAGTGGTTAAACCATTGGGCTGTAACCAGAAAGCTGGCAGTCCTAACCCACGAGCTACTTTGAAGGAGAAAGATGAGGTAGTCTGCTTTTGTAAAGATTTACAGCCTTGGAAACCTTATGGGGCAGTTGTTCTCTGTCCTATAGGGCCCCTGCGAGGTTGTAATCAACTCGATGGCAGTGGGTTCTCTCTCTCAGCGGCAAGGACTTACTGTGTAGTTGTTTTTCTTTTGTGCAAACAGAGGTAGTCCCTGGGTTATGAACATCTGAGTTATAGATAATTCTTACTTGCCATTTAAGCAGAGCTTCGAACCATTTTGAACTGGTTCTGTTATGGCTAACAAAGTGAAACAGGAATACACCTGAATTTTCAGTTTGGGTGATTTGTCATGGTAACTAGCATGGGAACAATTATGGATGGAAACAGTGGAATGGAGACTCGGAAGAAGTGTAGTGAGCCCTTTTAAGAGCCTGAGATTGCATGAGATTGGATTGTTGTCAGGACTGTGGAGAGCCATTCAAAGTAGTAAGGTTGGCAAGAAGCCTCTCTTTAGATTCTCTTCATTGGTTTGAAGCCCTGCTGTAATGTTATGTAAAATTGCCTTCACTTTGAAGCAACTGAACCATCCCTACTTGCAACAGATTCTTTATCACAATCACCTTTACTTTCTGCACATGCGACTTTTAAATCATTGAAAGGGCTTTGAACTTCTTCTTGTATTAACTCACTGCTTGAACAATTTCTCTTAGAAAGATCAGCACGAGGCCGGTCCCCATGAGGCGGAGGTTAAAGATGTCCCAAATGTCCAAACTACCGTACCACTCCCATCATTTCAGACATTAACTCCTCTTCCTCCTCCCAGTAATTTTCCCAGTCTTAGGGTTCTGTATTTCGCTGTAACGCCTCTCAGAACTCACAGACACCCAAGGGTTTGTCTCACGTAGTAGTGGTAGAAGGTGGTAGGCTGGCGAGTCCTAGGTCTGTAAGTAGGTCTGGAGGATCCTCCCAACTCTTGGGGTTTGATGAACCTCGATCAGCAGATCAGATGACAGCTGCTGTCCCAAATCCAGGGGTGAGATGAGGATGATCCAAGACACAAAGCTGGAGCAAGAGGAGGGCAGATCTTCCCAGGAGATTCATAGGTATATCCTCAGGGAAGCTAAGGGTGGTGATTTGAATTATACCCTCCAGCAAGGCAGGACTCAAGATACATTCCACCTGTGTTGCCCCAACAGAAATAACCTAAATGCCATCACAGAATTGATTGCCAGTCATTATAGGGAATGACTACTACTAGCTGCCCAGCCAAGTTGATACCTGACCTTAACTACCACACCACCCCAAACAGGCATGGATAATGGGATTTACAAAACATCACAGAATGGAGGACAATGGCTAGAAGGGCCACATCAAGCAATTCACTGTACTCACCCACTACCATGAAGTTGATTTCAACTCATAACAACCCTGTAGGACAGAGTAGAACTGCCTTGCATAGTTTCCAAGGCTGTAAATCTTTACAGAAGCAGACTGCCTTATCTTTCTCCCCAGGTGTGGCTGGTGGCTTTGAACCACCTGGCTTTTGATTAGCAGCTGAATGCTTTAACCACTGTACCCCAGAGACCTTTTTCTTGCTTGGAAATATGGCTAACTAAGAACCACAGGCACCTGTTCCAGCTGACCTACAAATTCTTAAATACACAGTTAGGAATGGTTCTTGTTTGAAACCCAAGGACTTCTGTAGCTCTTCCTCCATCTTGTCCAACTTATGAAAGCACACAGTCAATTAAACTTGTCACATTTGCATTACTGAGGCCTTTAATGCATTCTTTTTAAGTGCTTCTACTTTTTTTAAAATTTAGTTTCTACTTTACAGTTCCTCTTCTGGGCCCCTACCCTTAACACTGGCCAGCTAATTTTCCTAAACTTCTGCCTCCAAGGTTGACCTCTGTCATCCTGCTTTCACTTTCTTGAGAAGCTCCATCTTTCTTGTTTGTGCCTCAGGTTCACTTGGATTTTGGAATGTGCTCAATGGGATACCATCATGGGCCTGTGTCTTCCTATGTGGTGCTTGTAGGCATTCCCTTAACATACAGCTCTATTTCACCTTCCCTGATCTGAGTTGTTTATCTTGATGAATGTATACTGAGATTCCTTTCCTTTCTGAAAACCTACACACTTGTCTCGTTCCTGTCCTGATTGCTAAGGATCTTTTAGTGTATATTTTCTTTTTTTAAAAGAGTTTTTTTTTTTTTTTTTTTAAATTGTGGTTTGAGTGAACATTTACATAGCAAAATAGTTTTCCATTCAAGATGTTATACTTTTTCCTCTTTTTTTCCATGACATTGGTTGCAGCCCCCTCAATGTAACAACACACTTCCCACTTTCTTGTTGGGTTCCCCTTTTCCAGTTTTGTTCTTCTGTCTTGCCTCTTCCTGCATTCTGAGCTTTCTTTTTGGACAAATGCTGCTCTTTTGGTCTTGTATGGTTGATTATTATATGTTGCATGTTTCTCCTGGGTGTTACTGTTCACTTTATAGGCCTATTTGGCTGAAAAGTCATCTCTGGGAGTGGGTTTAGTTCCAGGTTTGAAGGATGTCTAATGTCCATGGTTTTTTTGGGCTCTGCCATTCTCTATCAGACCAGTCTCTGGTCTTTTTTTATAATTTTGAATTTTTTTCTACATTTTTTTTCCCACTCTATCCAGGACCTTCTATCGTGATCCCAATTAGTGCTGTTGATTGTAGTAGCCGGGTGCCATCTAGTTGTCCTGGTCTCAGGGTAGTAAAGGCTGTGGTTTGCGTGGCCCATTAGTCCTGTAGTCTAATTAGTTCCTTAAGTCTTTGACTTTCTTCACTCTGCATTGCTGTGGACTAGAAGAGACCAATTGTTGCATCTTAGGTGGCCACTCACAAGCATTTAAGACCTCAGCCACTATTCATCAAAGTAGGATATAGAATATTATCTTTATGGACTAATGCTGTGTCATTTGACCTAGATGTTCACTCAGATAATGTTTTTTTCTTAGTTTGATCTCAGACTGCCTTTGTTTCTTACAATGTGGCTTCATTTTCCATCCTTCCCAGTTTCACTCATAAGCCCTTTTATCATACTACTTTAGTATTTTGGAATGCTGTCATATGGTCTTGGTACTGCCCTAATGAATCACTTATATTAACCAGAGAGTAGATAGAATTAAACCCTGAATTGATAGCATATTTTGGTGAAATCTATGGATAAACCTGTGAATGATTTTAAAGGATGATTGACAAGTATTTTTACAGATAGTTAGACAAGTGTTACCATCAAGATAACATTTATCTTATCTAAGAAAGAATTAGAGAAATGGATACAAGGTTGTATATACCAAGCTGTGTATACAGCACTATATTCCATGATTCAGGGTTCTTTAAGAGTACACCCCCCCCCCCAAAAAAACTTAAAAGTTTATTGCATTAATAACACAAAATTCTTCTTTATTAAATAATTATTTTTTAAAAAATTTTTGGTTGTTGTTCAGAATATACTCAATAGAATGTTTACCAATTTAGCAGTTTCTACATGTATAATTCATTGACACTGATTATGTTTTTCGAGTTGTGCAACCATTCTCGCCCATCTTTTCTGGCTTGTTCCTCCCCATTAACATACACTCACTGTCCCTTAGGGAGCTCTGGTAGCATAGTGGCTAAAGCACTTGACTGCTATCCAGAAGGCTGGCGGTTCAAACCCACCAGCCACTCCTCGGAAGGAAGGTTGGGCAATCCTACTTCCGTAGTGATACTGCCTCGGAAACCCAAGGAGGGGTCGCTATGAGTCGGGGCCGACTCGACGGCACACAACAACAACAACAACAACAACAACAACAACTGTCCCTTAAGGTTCCTATGTAGTATTTTGAGTTGCTGTTGTTAATTTGATCCCATAAAGATAGAGCTTAAAAAAGCATAAAGCCAATTCAGACATTTTTCACTAGTTAAGCTAGACTATTGTTTGGCTTTAAAAGACTTCAGGGGATATTATTGGTATAAGATTTCAGGTTATCTCAGAATATCCTGAAATCTTGTACCAAAAATATCCCCTGAAGTCTTCAGCCCCCATGGCTTTGTAAAGTATGGATTCCATGAGAATTTGAAATTTTGCTCTGCATTTTCTTCCTTCTGATCAGGATTCTTCTATAAAATCTTTCATCAAGATGTTCAGTAATGGTAGCAACACACTATCTGCTTCTTGAGGTCTTGTGGTCAAGGAAGCACTTGTTATTGAGGCAATCAGCCACACATTCCATTTCTTTCTCCTATTCCTGACTCTCTTTCTTCTGTTTCTAGGTGAATAGAGATAGACTAGTTCTTCCTTGCATGGCTGCTTGTAAGCTTTTTTTTTGTTGTTGTTGTTGTAAATATATCTACCACATAGTTTTTGCCAATTCAATTTTGTATAGGTATACCAACTTATTGATAGAAATTACATTAATTGGCTATACACCCTACCATTAATCAATACAGTTTTTCCATTACCATAAACCAAAACACAGGACTCCATAAACAATAACTGTCCTTTTTTCCTCCTCTTGTCCCTGGTAACAACTAATAAACTTTGGCCTCTATACATTTGGCTCTCTAAGAGTACTTTTGACTCTGAGGTGTTTTCCTGCCTTACTAATTTGAAAGCCTAATTCCTGAGAAAAAGGATGTAGCTCTGCTCTATATCAGACTACTGTAAGCTTCTCAATATCTGTTTATCTCAAATTCTTAAGTGCGTGTGTGTGGGTGTGTGTGTATTTTTATTGTGATTTGGGTGAAAGTTTACGGAGCAAATTCACTTCCCATAAAGCAGTTCACAAACACTTTGTCTCATGACATTGACTACAACTTACCCCAATGCAACAGCTCCCCTCCCACCTCCTCCTGACAGTTACCTCTTCCCCTTTTCCATCTCTCCATGCACTCCTGCCCCTGAGCTGTCTCCCAGTACGTAAACAGCCCCCTTTTCTCCCATGATTGTTCTCTTCAAGGAATGTATCTACCTCGGGTAAATGTTCACCTCATATGCCTGTCTTTTGTTTGGCTGGAGGCCACAGGTGTTGGTTCAATTCCAGACCTGAAGGGCAGCTAGGGGCCATAGTCTCAGTGGTTCCACCGGGCTCTATCAGACCAGCAAACCTGGTCTCCCTGCCCCTTTTTTTTCCTCTCCAAATGATTCTTAGTTTTGTTCCACATTGTTCTCCCTCTCTCTCCAGGATCTCCTACGTAGATCCCCCTCGAATGGTAGCCAGGTGCCATCTATTTCTTCTGGTTAAGTAGACATATTTTTAAGACATCTTGTCCTGGAAAGTATTATTTTGCTTTGGAGTGCTTATTCTGCCCAGCTATAACTTTCTGTCCTATTATGACTTAGAAATACTTAGGGCTGGAATTTTTGTTAAGTGTAATTGTTTAGAACCCTTTAGGCATGTATGTACTCATTATTTGACTCAACAAATTCACAGTTACTTGTACTGGGGAGACAAAAATAATAAAATGATTACACATATACATGTTAAATGACATCTCTGACAGGCTTTGCAATGTTAAGATTGCTGATAGTATGATAAGAAAAGACTTCCCTGAGAATGTGGTGTTTCACCTAAGATCTTTAAGGATAAGTGACAGACAGTTTACTTGGCAGTGATGGGAGAAGGAACCCTTCTAGGTAGTGGAGAGCAAGGTTTCATGGTGGGAAGAGTCCCAGAATAAGGGACTCAAACATTTATTATCTCCTCATATGATGCTGTAACTTTTATGTTGTATATAATTGATGGTGTCAAAAGAATGTCTCATAGATAGTCACATTCTAAACCTAATTTTAATATACTCCTTTTAGACTTCACCTAATAAATGCTATTAAATAACTATTTAGCTATATATATGGCAATGTTTATTTAGTGAAATGCCTTTAAATTTTGTAGTGTCTTAGACTGTTATCATCCTTACTGTTGCTGAATTGTGCTAAGTGTTTTACATGTATTATACCATTGAATCTTTTAATAAGCATATATTGTTGTTGGTTGTTAGGTGTGCTTGAGTTGATTTTCTACTCGTGTTATCCCATGTAACAGAGTTGGATAGCCACATAAGGTTGTCTAGGCTGTAATCTTTAGAGGAAGGATCCCTGATGGCACAGTGGTGAAATGTTTGGCTCTTAACCAAAAGGTGGGCAGTTTGAACGCACCAGCAGGTCTATAGGAGAAACTACCTGACAGTCTGCTCCTGTAAAGATTGCAGCCTAGGGAACCTTATAGGGCAGTTTCCTTTTATCATATAGAATCACTACATGGTTTAAAATCAAGAAAGGAGTGCGTCAGGGTTGTATCCTTTCCCCATACTTATTCAGTCTATATGCTGAGCAAATAATCTGAGAAGCTGGATGGACTATATGAAGAAAAACATGGCATCAGGATTGGAGGAAGAATCATTAACAACTGAGATATGCTGACGATACAACTTTACTTGCTGAAAGTGAGGATGACTTGAGGCACTTACTGATGAAGAGTGAAGAATACAGTCCGCAGTATGGATTACGTCTCAATATAAAGAAAACAAAAATCCTCACAACTGGACCAATAAGCAGTATCACGATAAATGGAGAAAAGATTGAGGTTGTCAAAGAATTCACATTGTTTGGTTTTACAATCGATGCCAATGGAAGCAGCAGTCAGGACATTAGACGACGTGTAGCATTGGGAAAGTCAACCGCGAAGGAACTGTTTCAAGTGCTGAGGAACAAGGATGTCTCCTTGAGGGCTAAGGTGTGCCTGACACAAGTCATGATATTTTCAGTTGCCTCATACGCAAGTGAGAGCTGGATAATGAATAAGGAAGACCGAAGAAGAGTTGATACTTTTGAGTTGTGGTGCTGGCGAAGAATGCTGAAAGTGCCATGGACTGTTAAAAGAACTAACAGATCTGTCCTGGAGGAAGTGCAGTTGAAATGCTCCTTTGAAGCAAGAACGGCCAGACTTCGTCTCACCTCCTTTGGTCATGTTGTCAGAAGGGACAGTTCCCTGGAGAAGGATGTCATGCTTGGTAAGGTGGAGGGTGGATGAAAGAGGGGAAGGCCTTCAATGAGATGGATTGACATGGTGGGTGGGACAGTGGGCTCAAGTGTAGCAGGGATCATGGAGCTGGCACAGGATTCGGCGGTGTTTTGTTCTGCTGTGCATGGGGTCGCTGTGAGTTGGAAATGACTCGATGGCACCTAACAACAACAACATGAGTTGATCTACCCAATAGCACACAATAAATACAATCTTTATGGGAGCAAATCTCCAGATCTTTTTTCCTGCAGAGTGGCTAGGTGGGTTCAAACTGTCAATCTTTCAGGTGGCAGACAAGCACTTAACTGTTGTGTCACTAGTGTTCTTAATAACCACGTAAGGGAGGATATATTACTCACATTTTACAGATGAGGTAAGTGAGATTTAGAAAAGTTGATGCAGCTGTAGGTGACGGAACTGTTTAAATCTGTGTCTGACTTTACTTCTGTTTTCTTGGTTTTATCCCTATTTACACCAATTTGTCAGTATTACTCATAAAATGTCATGCTTAGAACTGAGCATTATAATATATTTCAGATTTAGAAATAGAGTGGAATATTATACCACTGAATCTTTTAATAGCCATGTGTTGTTCGTTGCTGTCCAGTTGATTTTTAACTCAGTTACCCCACATGACAGGGTAGTTGAATTGTATTCCTTTTGAGGAGATGCTGTATTTCCATTAATGTTGTCTTAAACGTAATGAACCTTTTTGGCTACTATTGTGTCATAGTTGAAAGTTTATGGAGGTAACCTTAATTTCAACCTAAAGGATTTATGGCAGAGAACTACTAATATTTAGATAAATTAAACTAAATTTTGTGATACTGTTTTAGAAATAACAGATAGTTGTGATAAGTGGGAAGAATGTTGCTTTTAGGAGTCTTTCTCATTGCCCAACCACATTTCTAGGGCTTTCCCTTTCTTTATCTACTGAATGAAAGGATTAAGCAAGATTAATCTCAGAATTGATTAGACTTTGTAATTCTGAGTGTGTATTATAATTGTGATTTTAATAGGATAAAATATGGAAAAAATAAGATGTACCTAACAATTGGTGGTGTTTTTCAGTTCTGCGTAAGTTAACCGTTAATGGATTTGTGGAGCCTCATAAGAATATGGAGGTGATGGTAAGTATAGAAGTATTTTATTCTCTGTGAATTTTGTTTGTTATTTTCCTGAATGTTTTTAAGCATTTTCTTTTTACTAAGCAGCTTCTTGGCATTCATGTAAAAGTTTTTATTAAATGACCACCTATTTTTTTGACCATTTTGTGTATGTTATAGTATACTTTCAAATATCTAGTCTGTTTTTATTATGTCAAAGTAGTTATTGGATGAAAGAGGATAATAAGCCCATGATATTCAAGAAGTAATGGTACATTGAGTGTTGACATTGTTAGGAATTTGTATGGTATTTATAGCATAATCAAGCATATTATACATAAGTAGTTATATCTTTGTTTCTTTTGCCTTTTAATTTTTAGATTTTTAAAATTAACTTACTGTTTTCTAATACATGGTCTTTGTAATGATTTAAACTACACACACACATACACAAACAGGGGAAGAACCCCATCCACAAGCCCATTGCAAGTTTTGGTGTATATTCATTCTTTCTTGGTATATAGCCATCTATTTTTTTCCTGTGGAAACATATTTAGCTACTTTTTCTTTTTCCCTAAACAAAATGGGATTGTGTTACACTCACTCAGGATGTTTTTGTTCTCACAGTGAGTTTAACTCAGCTAAGTCTTTGTTGTCTGTGCATTGCCTTGTAGTCTGCTTAAAAGTTGAGGAAAAAAGTATATCTAAACAAGCCTTAGGGTCTCCCCTACTAGAATTGAGCAGAACCGCTCTTTCAGTATTATTGTTTGGAAAAGTTTTATGTATTTCGTGTATCAGAGTGATGGAAAATAGTTCTCTTGTTAAAAGAGTTTAAAAACCACTGCAGTGAGTTTTTGAGTTTTGTACATCATTATACTGCCTAGTGCCTAAGGCACTTGACTGCTAACCAGAAGATTGGTGGTTCAAGCCCACCAGCCACTTCTCTGAAGGAAGATAGGGCAATCTACTTCTATAGTGATGTTGTTGTTGTTGTTATGTGCCGTTGAGTCAGCCCTGACTCATAGTGACCCCTCCTTGGGTTTCCGAGGCAGTATCACTATGGAAGTAGGATTGCCCAACCTTCCTTCCGAGGAGTGGCTGATGGGTTTGAACCGCCAGCCATCTGGTGAGCAGTCAAGTGCCTTAGCCACTATGCTACCAGAGCATCTATAGTGATACTGCCTCAGAAACCCAAGAAGGGGTTGCTATGAGTCGGATCTGACTCGACGGCACATAACAACGACAACAACGTACTGTGATAGGAGCTCTGGTGGTGTAATGCTTAAGGCATCTGACTGCTAACCATAAAGCTGTGGTTCAAACCCACCAGCCACTCCTCGGAAGGAGGGTTGGGCAGTCTACTTCCGTAGTGATACTGTCTCGGAAACCCAAGGAGGAGTAACAATGAGTAAGATCTGACCTGATGGCAGCGCTTGATAGCGTGTTGCATTTTGTGTACCATGATGGCTGTTTTGTTCTATAAATTATGTACTTATTTTTAAATAAGTTAAAAAATATACAAACTTAAAATGAAAGTAAGTATTTAAAATCTCACTATCTAGAGCATTACTGTTGTTAAAACTTGTAAGTAGCATTGACAGCATGTGTAGTCTTCCACATATACTTTTCTTTTTCAATTTTATTTAAAAATTTAAAATATTTTTCCGTATCAGTACTGTTGTTATGTATGTCATGATTTTTCATGATTGTGTGGCACATCTATATCATTATTGTCAATGGGTTTATAAATTAATATGTAGAGTATCTATAATTTACTTACCCTATTTATTAATGGACAAATAGATTGTTTTTAATTGCTAATAAATGATACCAAAATAAACATTTTGATATAATGTTATTATGTACTTCTCTGTCTTTTTAAGATAAATTCCTAGAATTGGAAGTGTTAATGAATAAAATTCATTCTATTTCATAATTACCATATTAGTCCATTGGAACTATTCATAATTTTTTTGAATATTTTTATTGTGCTTTAGGTGAAAGCTTACATTTAAAATATTGTTGATATATATTACCCAATTTCCAGAACATATATAAAAAGTAACCTAAATTTTAGATACACATTTATAAATTTATACATATTTCTGTACTGCCAAAAAGATTTTGCAAAAAACTAACAACTGCTTCTCAGATTCCCCACTAGAATTTCAGCTCTGTGAAAGTGGGAAAGTTTGTTTTGGTCACTGTTGACCTCAGTGTTTGGAACAAAATCTGCCATGTAGTAAATGCTCAATAATCATTTGTTGAGTGAATGAATATATGATGTGGTAGAAATAGTATCTGAAAAGGCTGAGTAATTGTTTTTAATTATAATATTATGTGGAGTTTCTTAAAATTAACTAAAAGTGATTATGTTTGCTTTTGTTTTTTGTTCATTGAAGTGAATTGATATGATTCATATTTGTATATGCTGAAATAGTGGTTTTAAGTGGATCCTGTCAGTATTTTGAAAGTCTTTAGTTTAGCACATGCTTTTCCCTTGAGTCATATTCCTCCTGTCTACAGAAACTGTATATCAGCCTTTACTCAATTATAAGTGCTTTGTTGTAGCATTTAACTTATATTGACCATTTGGAGAGAGGATAAAATTTTAACAAATTAGGGATAGTATTTCAAGTAATGTCTTAACAATATTGGCCTGAAAAATACTAAGAAACAGTATATAATAGTGGTGAGATTTTGGGTTCTGGAGATAGGCAGATTTGGATTTGAATCTTGACTGGGCTTTTTTTTACTAGTTTTTTTTTGGTAGTTACTTCTGATAGTTTCAGTGATTCATAGCATTTTTTGGGTTGCCAATCCCGAATCATATCATGAGATCTACAGATACTCTGTCCTAAAAAAAGCACATATGAACTTACAACATTAATTTTGGGAATCTAGTGGCCCACTAACATCCTTAACCATATCTTTAAACTTTGGTATGCAATTAGGGTCCTTTTGACTTAATTTTAGTTTTTTGTATTCTTTTTTGAGCAGTTCATCCATTAGTAATTGACTGATATTTCATGACCTTTTTTAGACACCTTCAAAGGAACAAGAGAATGTTTACTTATTTCATAAAAATAATAAAATTCATTCTATTTTATAATTATCATATAGGTCCATTAGAACTTTTCATAAATTTTTTTTGGAACACTTTTATTATGCTTTAGGTGAAAGTTTACAATTAGCTGTTCATACACAAATTGTACCGTGACATTGTTTGTGATCCCCAAAATATGTCAGCACTTTCTCCATTTCCACTCTGGATTCCGCATTTTCATTTTCCCCATTCATCTGTCCCTCCCTGCTATCTCATCTTTGCTTTTGGACACATGTTGCTTTTTTGATCTCTATAGCCACTCCTCTGAAGGAAGGTTGGACAGTCTACTTCCGTGGTGATACCACCTTGGAAACTGAAGGAGGGGTCACTGTGAGTTGGGTCCGATTCAGTGGCACATAACAACAACAACACGTTCATCTGGGTGATGGAGGTTATTTTATAGGCCAGTCTGGTATTTGGTTCAAAGGTGGTCTCTGTGGCTTCAGTTCCAAGTGAGAAGGTTGTCTTTAGAGCAATAATATTGGGGGTTCCTCCAGTCTCTTTCAGACTAATAAGTCTAAGATTTTTTGTGAATTAGATCGAATTTTGTTCCACATTTTTCACTCACTCTAACTGGGACTTGCTGTTATATACCCAGTCAGAGCTGTCAGTAGTGGTAGCTGGGCACTGTCTTGTTCTTCTTTTCTCAGGTTAGAAGATACTATGGTTCATGTGGGCCATTAGTCCTGTGGACTAATTGCTTCCTTGAGTCTTTGGTTTTCTTCATTTTCCTTTCCTTTAGATGGGAAGAGACCAATTGCTGTATCTTAGATTGCCTCTATTTATTTATTTATTTTTATTGTGATTTGGGTGAAGGTTTACAGAGCAAATTTACTTTCATACAGCGGTTCCATATACTTTGTTTCATGGCATTGACCACAGTTTACCACAATGCAACAGCTCCCCTCCCACTTCCTCCCCATAGTTACCTCTTCCCTGTGTCAATCCCTCCGTGCACTCCTGCCCCCTGAGCTGTCTCCCTGTGCATAAGCAGTCCTTCTTTCTCCCATGATCGTTCTCTTCAAGGAGTGTATCTACTTGAGGTAAATGTTCAGCTCATATGCCTGCCTTTTGTTTGGCTGGAAACCACAGGTGTGGGTTCAATTCCAGACCTGAAGGGCAGCTAGGGGCCGTAGTCTCAGTGGTTCCACCAGGCTCTATCAGACTAGCAAAGCTGGTCACCCTTTTTTAATTTTTTTCTCCAAATAATTTTGAGTTTTGTTCCACATTGTTTTCCCTCTCTATCAAGGATCTCCTACATAGATCCCCTTCCAAGTGGATGA